CCTTGTAGTCATATTCTGTCCAACATAATGTTAGATTGAGCCCATCACCTGGAACACTGTTGGAGACTGGACAGGGAAAGGTGGCTCTGAGTTGGGAACCAAAAGGTACTGATCACACCTTTAGATATTCTTTATCATCATTTGGTTCTGCAATATTTCAAAGGTTCCTCTCTTTTGTTTATGCAGAGTGTTACCTGGAAAGTACATGGAGGAGATCAGCTTGAATATTGCCAAGTACAATATTCACGCTTTGGTCATCATTGGGGGTTTTGAGGCAAGTGACAAAATGTAATGATATAATACACAATAAAATGTCCATAATATACAATATAATGTCCATGTCCTGTTCTTTCCTCATTCTGTCCATATTCTCTTCAGGTCACATTAAAATTCCCCTTTTCAGGCATTTTCAGGTGCATTGGAAATGGTTCAAGGCAGAGGGAAGTATGAAGAGCTGTGTGTTCCCATGGTGATCATTCCTGCTACTGTATCTAACAATGTGCCCGGCTCAGACTTCAGCATCGGAGCCGACACCGCCCTTAACACCATCACCACGGTTAGAGATACAGCGCACACACTGTCTGGATGCACAATATCTAAACACCATACTGATTATCAGCCACTATTTTTTAAATAATTTAATTCATTTCTACAAATATTTCATGGACAATTTTGAGATTTTGGGCTTTTTTGTTTCCATAACTTCTTTCAGATATATTTGCATCTGTAGATTTTAATTGCAACACATACTGTATCTTTAAAGGCATTACATTTTTTTTTTCTCTTGTACTGCGCAATAAATATCCACTTTAGTAGAACTTACACCAGTGAAACATACACCAAACTTTACAGTTTTATTCCTATCTATATTCTGAAGGTTATTACAGAGGAATTTGTTAATATATAATTTACCTGACATATATTTAACATTTTATTCCTAAAAACATGGTGAATTTTTTTAATGGCTGTTGACAGTATTTTCTGATTAATGGAACGAAAAAAGAGATATCCAAAATCTTTTGTTTAAAAAAAAAAAGAAAGAAAGAAAGAAACGATGATGTCTTTTTTAATTCTATTTTTTTTTTTACCCTATTCACTAGCAATGTCTTGCCTGTTTTATTGTTAATTTTTCAACAAAATGGCTATTTATTGGTTATTCATCTTAACATAAATCTAATTCTTGTGTGAGCTAGTATATGGTTGTTCTTTAGTTGGGTATGTCCTCACATGAGGCTTCTGTAGACCTGTGACAGGATCAAGCAGTCGGCAGCAGGAACTAAGCGGCGTGTGTTCATCATTGAGACTATGGGAGGATACTGCGGCTACCTGGCCACAATGGCTGGTTTCTCTGCAGGAGCTGATGCTGCTTATATATATGAAGAGAAATTTGGCATTCGTGACTTGGAGGTAACAAACAACTCGCATGCCAAAAAGAATGAATGGCTATCACTCAAAATGGATTAAACTGAACCATTCTGTTTGAATGTCTCCAAATAACTGATGTCTACAGAGAAATGTGGAACATCTTGTTGAGAAGATGAAGACCACTGTTAAGAGAGGCTTAATTCTCAGGTTTGTCATTTAGTATTCGTAAATGTTTACCAGTTTAGTTTGTTTTTACTTTTGAGGTGAGACTTCTTGAATAGTTTCTACCAACAGCACCTTTGGCATTCATCAATTGCTACAGCGAATCATAGTAGAACATGTCTTGTAGAAATGAAAACTGCAATTCCAACTACACTACCGATTTCATCTTCAACCTGTATTCAGAGGAGGGAAAGGGGGTTTTTGACTGCCGTAAGAATGTCCTTGGCCATATGCAGCAGGTTAGATGTTTAAAAAAAAAAAATATATATATATATTTATTTTAATAAAAATCAAGAATGCACATTTATCAAGAGTTGTATTTTGTCTGACAAATGTTCTTTTTCAAGGGTGGCACCCCAACTCCTTTTGACAGAAATTTTGCTACCAAGATGGGTGCTAAGGCTGTTCTCTGGCTGACTGAGAAGCTGAAGGAGTGTTATAGACATGGTGCGGTTTGATATTTCCTAATATTCACTGTCATCCATGGTAATGCTCGATCTCAGTCTGCTCGAAATCACTGCTACTTTCAATATTTTTTAATGTTATTACACTGTTCATCTTGTTGATTTGGCCAATCTTTCTGTACATTCGAATGGTCAATTTTTCTAGCGGAAGCTTCATATAAAATACAACTGTTAAAAAGTTGGGGTCAGTAAGAAAAAAAATGTTGGATCTTTTATTTTCCATGAAAGCATTAAATTGCTCAAAAGTGACAGTAAATACATTTATAATGTTACAACGTATTTCTATTTCAAATAAAGGCAAACTAGCATGATATTAAAATTGAAATGGAGTCAAAATAATTTACTTTATTTTTTGATCAAATAAATGCAGCCTTGATAAGCATAAGAGACTTCTTTCAAAAACGTTTAAAAAATCTTACTGACTTCATACTTTTGAATGAAAGTGTACAACTCTAAAATTATTTAAGCTCAAATCAATGTCATGTACACGTATGTAGCTGTGTAATAATGTTCAGTCAGAGAGTCTTAAAAAATAGTATTTTTAAAATTTTATTATTATTTATTATTTTGCAACAATGACCTGCTGACAGTTTATTATCCCTTAATTATTTGTCAGTGTTCAGAACTACTTATAAATAAAAAATGTATTCCCCTTTTGACTGTCTGTACAGGGCGAATCTTTGCCAACACCCCAGACTCTGCGTGTGTGTTGGGCATGAGGAAGAGAGGACTGGTGTTACAGCCTCTGGCTGAATTGAAAGAACAAACCGATTTTGAGTAAGAATCTTCCATTATCATGCACCATTAAATGCATGTCATTTCTAAGTTTGTGACCCCACTAATTAATAACGGTTTCACAAAGTCCCTCCCTTATCACTTTCCCACAGACACCGTATTCCGAAGAACCAGTGGTGGTTGAAGCTGAGGCCTATTATGAAGATTTTGGCCAAGTACAAGATTGTAATAATGTTCAGTCAGAGAGTCTTAAAAAATAGTATTTTTAAAATTTTATTATTATTTATTATTTTGCAACAATGACCTGCTGACAGTTTATTATCCCTTAATTATTTGTCAGTGTTCAGAACTACTTATAAATAAAAAATGTATTCCCCTTTTGACTGTCTGTACAGGGCGAATCTTTGCCAACACCCCAGACTCTGCGTGTGTGTTGGGCATGAGGAAGAGAGGACTGGTGTTACAGCCTCTGGCTGAATTGAAGGAACAAACCGATTTTGAGTAAGAATCTTCCATTATCATGCACCATTAAATGCATGTCATTTCTAAGTTTGTTAATTAATAACGGTTTCACAAAGTCCCTCCCTTATCACTTTCCCACAGACACCGTATTCCGAAGAACCAGTGGTGGTTGAAGCTGAGGCCTATTATGAAGATTTTGGCCAAGTACAAGATTAGTCTGGACACCTCTGAACACGCTCTTATGGAGCATGTCATCAGCAAGAAGCCTCCAGTGCACATGACTCTCACAAAGTAATCATGAGCAAAAATGTGGACAGCCAGACATACAACAAACATATGAAATGACTGAATTATTTATTTAAATGATTTGTTCATCTGTCTATGTCTTATTCTTTCATTTTGTTTGTATTTATAGTATTTATGGTAACGCTGTTGCAACATGCAAATTAAAATAATCTTATTGTTAAATGCTCTTGGTTTTCGTTACACGTTTTTTTTAATAAATATATTTTCATTTTGGAGGGAATGAAATGTAAGATGCATTTTTCAAGCCTATTAAATATTTTTTGTTATTTACATATATAAAAGTATGAGCAACTGAACCCATGCTCATGCACTATTTTATCTGATACAAAAACTGACTGAATATAAATTACTTAGAGAAGAAAGATTAATTTCCTATATATAAAGTAAACTTTTATATAATTGTCCAGTCAAAGATCAATGTTTACCACCAGACGTCAGTCATGAATGGATCATCCTCGAAATGCTAGAATACATCTGTATGTTTATTCATTGCCCTCCATTATTGAAATGAGGAGATATTGTCTTAATTTAAATGTACTGGTTGGGTGAAATGCTCCTTTACTTTAAACTCTTTTCCTCTTAAACTTTAAAATGGTTCCTTTGGTGGATTAATATCTGCCTGTTAAAACATCTCTGTATTTTGGGGGAGTTGATTTTAGAAGTTTTACCTGAGTTTACTAAGATTTATCTGCTTATATTCAGAAAAAGCCTTCTCAGACATGCTATTTAAAATAAAAGATGACAGAATTGTAATTGTGGATGAACTATCCCAATACAAAGTGTCCCACAGAAGAAAGTGATGGGTTTGGAATTATCCCTTTAAGAATCAGTAAAACAGTACTAATACTGCGTCTACAAACGTTACTACTAATAAAAACAATAATTATTATCATCATCAAATGAGATCTGTTGCCAAGTATGTTTTGACAAACAAAACAAATTAGGCTTGGTGACATAAGAAGGCTAAGCATACTAAGTATAACAAGAAAATTGCATGGGTGTCTGTTGTAAAATTAAAGAAAAATACTTTTATTTTGGCAGTCAGCCTACTGTAAGCCATTGCTCCAACCGGAAGCTGAGCAGATCAACTTCAGAGGGTATCAAGAGGTCGCTGAAGGAGTGTGGGACGGTGGCGGACTGTGTTAATGTCTGCCTACTCATTGGTAAGGTGCGTGTCCCCTGTGTCCGCTTCGGTCGCCCGTTTAGGAATGCACCCTACGGCACTGGCGCTAGTGTAGATCGAGAAGAAGGCACGTTAGGATCGAATTTGCTATTTTCGGCGCTTGCGCTGTCATTTTCACCCGTCGGTTGACAAACGTCGATGCATTGATAGCTAGCCAGCTAGCTAGCAGGAGAACATTAGTCCATTCTGTGGCTAGCCAGCCAGGTCGCATTCTGAGCATTCATTACCGAGCACTCAATAAGTTCAGGTTCTTCAACTGGACCACCTACTGTGCGTATACTGGTGTATTAGCAAACTAACGTTACTCGATCAGCAAAAAGCGTGACTCGAGGGGGGCAGGGAGAGAACGACGAAGGCGCGGTGAGCCAGGAGCGGCCGATGAGTTCAGACCAGGGCGGAGAGCCGCAGCTGCAGGAGGAGGCTGAGCCGGGACCCAGAACCCGTGGGGAGGACGAGATCACACCCGGGACCGGGGGAGACTCAGGCGTCATGGTGAGTCGGGGACTCTTCACCCCTCCCCAACAGGACGATCGGTCTCTGGCCGTTGCCCTTCTTATAAATAGGGTCATAGGAAGTATGATCTCTCGCTATATAAGGCCATCGGTCGGTTCAGACAGCTTGCAAGCTCTGACATCACCTAAATTGCAAGCTGGTCATGTTGTTGAAGACGCTTCTTGTTGGCAATTGACAGTACGATTAATAAATCTCTTAATTGTCCCGCTTATAAAAAAACATTTCTGATCTGCGGCTGAACTTTGCAGCATGTTTGTGGTTTTAAGATTGCTTTCTCTCTCACAGTCGATAGTTCACCCCCAAAAAACGTAATTTCCTCACTCTCATGTTGTACAAAAACCCTTTATGAACACAAAGACACAACTGGACCACCTACTGTGCGTATACTGGTGTATTAGCAAACTAACGTTACTCGATCAGCAAAAAGCGTGACTCGAGGGGGGCAGGGAGAGAACGACGAAGGCGCGGTGAGCCAGGAGCGGCCGATGAGTTCAGACCAGGGCGGAGAGCCGCAGCTGCAGGAGGAGGCTGAGCCGGGACCCAGAACCCGTGGGGAGGACGAGATCACACCCGGGACCGGGGGAGACTCAGGCGTCATGGTGAGTCGGGGACTCTTCACCCCTCCCCAACAGGACGATCGGTCTCTGGCCGTTGCCCTTCTTATAAATAGGGTCATAGGAAGTATGATCTCTCGCTATATAAGGCCATCGGTCGGTTCAGACAGCTTGCAAACTCTGACATCACCTAAATTGCAAGCTGGTCATGTTGTTGAAGACGCTTCTTGTTGGCAATTGACAGTACGATTAATAAATCTCTTAATTGTCCCGCTTATAAAAAACATTTCTGATCTGCGGCTGAACTTTGCAGCATGTTTGTGGTTTTAAGATTGCTTTCTCTCTCACAGTCGATAGTTCACCCCCAAAAAACGTAATTTCCTCACTCTCATGTTGTACAAAAACCCTTTATGAACACAAAGACAGAATGACAGGGGCAGTCCCTATGGACTTCCACTGGAGAACGATGCAATAAAAATGAATGGAGACTGAGGCTGTCAGTCTCTCACATCCTAACTGATCTCGTTTTGAGTTATAAAAGCACTTGTTTTCTAAGATGGACCCATAAAAATGTTACAGTTTTGTAGTCACAAATACATTTACAGAATATGTAGAGTTGTGCATAAAAATAATCTGAAATTCACATTTAAAATATCATTTTTATTTGTTATTCAATCTGTTTCTGCCATAAGAATGGCTTATGAAGCTGATATGGTAATAAACTTAAATGCAACCAACCAACCTTTTGTTTTGTACTGAATAAAGGAAGTTTGACACGACATGGCAGAATTTACATTTTTGGGTGAACTGGCCCTTTAAGGCTGTCGAGCATGACAGGAGTTAACCAGCTAAATTAGCCCATATGCTAGCGAAGATACACATGCAAACCTTTTGCTTGTTAGTTCTAGATTAATTCACAATTTGGCCTAGGGATACTGATTTTAGCCTGCATATTCAACCGTAAAACACGCTGTAATAAGCCAACGTTCATTCAGCGGCCTGCTTTCATAAGCTTATTTCACGCAGTCATATGACACATGAGCTCTCGTGAAGTTGCAACCGAATAGAACAGACGAACTCCAAATTATGTTTATAACACTGACTTTGGGAGTTTATACGGGTTTCTGAGTAACAATTATTAAATATTTGTTTCAGCGTGCCTAGCTGTAAGTCGACGTCCTTCTGTTGTAATATACCTATATAATATTTCCTGCACTTTTGCTTGGGAGGACCCGTAGCAACCCCGTTGTTTTTCGGAGAATGACAGCGTCTGCTTTCGGCCTTAATCTTCTGGCTGACATCTTCTAGAAACACTTTATCCTAGTATCCTAGGGGGTCTTTTAGTGTTGTTTGTGTTACAGGCTCACAAAGCTTAACAGCTGTTTTTGATAGTTTATGTGGAGGATGAGGGTTAGGAAGCAGGTGGCGGTTCCCAATGGCGCCCCCGTGGCCATGTCAAATGAGCAGGTATTCATTATTTTGGATGCACAATTTGTAGCCAAAATATTAAACGTGTAATAAATGTACACATGGGAACCTTTTTTATTTTATTTTATTTTTTTACATTACACCTGCTTCAGTACCCGTTTTGATGGGGACAAGAGGACAGTGTTAAATGCTTATTTGTTCACCATGATTTACCATAATTTCAGGTATTTTCAAAGTTTGGTTTTCCACAGTGTTTTAAAATGAAATGAAAAATGTTAATGATGTGTTTTTACAACAGTGTTCTCTGTCACTTTATGATCACAAGTGTGCGGGGAACTCTGCTGTTCCAGACTGGAAACTAAACACTTTGGCTTATTGTTTTTGTTTTTTGGTGGGCAAGAAACCTACAACTAACTGGCAAAGTTTTGTCTGAAATGTATGTTACACAATATAAATTATTTATTGAACTGTTGTATAAAAGCAAAATCACACTCTCCATAGTGCTGTTGTAGTGGATCAGCGCTTGTCCTGTGAAAGCTGTCTGTTGTTTGGATGAAATGGAGCTGTCAGTCAATCTTTCCCTGGCAGAGAAAGATTGAACCTCTGCTACAGAAACTGCTGCTGTCTTGATTGACAGGACTTGTGACCAGTGGGAAAATTGTAGTTTTGGCAAGTAACGTGTTGTAAACATGAGCTCATGTGATTCTGCTCACCTCGTGCTGCCTTTGTGTGTTAGTATTGACTGCAGGAGTTGACGAAGGATGTATTTAGTTCATTCTCCCAGCACTCTCTTCATTTGTTGCAAACAGAAATCCCAGCACAGTATTAATATCTGTGGGAAACGCCCCGTTTTCTGTCATGGTATCATTTTCAAATTATTATCATTGACTGAAGTACCATTTTTCACAACTGGTTAAGCACTTAGATTTCTCCGTGGGCATTTTGGGTTGCTTTTGATGGGAGGTGAAGTGGTGTTAAGGAAACTCAATTTAAGTGGGCTCATCTGTCATTGTTCTCAGTGTCACTCAAGACATGTAGACACACCTTGGTGTCATGGGAACGGCACAGGAAGTGTTTTGCATGTAACAAGATAAACGCGCTAATACTTTAAAATGTCTTTTTGAAGATTTTAAAACAAACCTTTGGGTTTAATTAATTAATTGCATTTCCTTCTATTGTTCAGGTCACTGCTAAAGGAGCTGGTCTGAACCCTAATGCCAAGGTGTGGCAGGAGATCCCTGCAACACAAAGTGAAGCTCCTGTGGATGGCATTGTGGCCTCCCCCTGGTCACAGAACAATACGGCTGAAGGTAAACAACTAGTGGTCGACTGATACTGTTTTTTTGACAGCCAATGCTGATATCTTGGAAAGCAGGGTGGCCGATGGCCGATATCATTTTATTTATTTTATTTAATATGTAAGAAATTTGAAATAATTTGAAAATGGATTAAAAAATAATTGTGTAAAATAAACATGCTTATACTTTAAATGACAAAGTATTTTTCACAAATATTTAATAAAAATATAATTAAAAGGGTAGTAAACACTGTAACCAACAGGGCACTCAGTATTCTGGGAAGTTTGTGTGCATTGGGAATCACATTTTTTCAAATAAAGCCAAGGTAACATTCATTTTACATACAGCACACAGTGAAAATGACATTAATATGACATTGGGCAAAAGCATGAAGCGCAGCATAATTTGAAATCACGAGTTTAAAGTTTGTCGATCGCGCGTCTCAGGTGAAGCTGAACTCTCCTCCTGTCCGTATTTAATTCGCACTGACCGACTGTCACGCAGAGCACACGCGTGCTCATTAGGGTTCATGCAGGATATAAATGCACACTTCATAAGATCTCACAGCTGGATTCGACTAAGTTTGCAAGGTTTTTGAAATTAGATGGTCATTAGACATTCAAAGATTTGTTTAAATTATATAAATGCGTATTTGCTGAATGCTGACGGCAAACGAGAAAGTATTATAATGTTTGCCTTTCTATTACTAACAATATAAAAGCAATGGTTATAATACTTTTTTGTATACATTTTAATTCCTTTGTTTAACAGTTCTATCTGATTATTAGACAGACACACTTTGCTGATAGCACTGCTTCTCACACACATGCAAAGAGATAGAGAGCGAGAGAGTCTTGCATACCATGCAGAAATAACACGCTACAGATAAACAATATTCTTGGTTGTATTTTCCTGTCAAAATAACGGAGTTCATTTGGAATTCTTCAGCTTTTAAAGGGTTAGTTCACCCAAAAATGAAAATTATCCCATGAATTACTCCCCCTCAAGTAGGGTTGTGACGGTGAGGAAATTTTCCCACCGGTTAATCGACCTGTGACAACACCGGTAATATGGGGGCAGGGGCGTTCCCTCTTTTCCTCGCTTTCCTTCGCTTTTAAATAGCTTGTAAAAGCGGCGTGCGCATTTTACTTTCACTTTGAAATAGCGGCAATTCGGCATAAAGCAATTGTTCATTTTTAGTTTGTTTGAATTTTCCCTCTTTTCCTTGCTTTCCGTCGCTTTTAAGTAGCTTGAAAGCGCCGTGTGCATTTTACTTTCACTTTTCAGTTAGCGGCAGTTAGGCGTCATTTGCTTGAATGCAACAACAAAATACAACGTCAAACTCACTTTAGCCTATATATAAAATTATAGAACTTTTATTAACAAAACAAATACACCATACTATAGGGCAGGCTATGCCTAATATAAAATAACTTGCATAAAGTTTAAATAGGTATACAAAACTGGAACTAGGCTAAGTAAACATGTATAATATATAACCAAATAAATAAGAAACGTAGAACGTTTATTAGCAAAACAAGTAAGAAAGCTTGGAGGCACGGCATACACCTTGATGTCAAATAAAGTAAATAAATGACACAAAGTTTAAATAAAGTAAAAATCGGCAAATAATGTGGAATCAATTAAATAAGAAACTAATGTTTAAAAAAAACTTCCAAAATCACCTCAGATAAACGGCATAAAAGGCTTTTCAAAATCCAAAATATTGCCAAACAGGCGCTTTTGCGTTTCGAAACTAAATCATCCGCGATCGTCTTGTCTGTCTCATCTCACTCTTCTTGTCAGTCAGCTCGACTCACTCTCCTCTCTGGAGAAATGAAATCTGATCTGTGATGCGACTGTCGTTCGGCACGCTGCATTGAGCAGCCACGTTCAGTTTTTAATTGTAGTGTCTGTTCTTTTACTGAACTAAATTATTTTATTTCTATAAATAATCAAAACGACGGTGGGGGTCGGTGCCGCGGTGGGCAAGTGACGTAACCGGTGTTGCGGCTTAACACCGGTATCACCGTCAGCACCGTCTATCGCGGCAAGCCTATATGACTTTCTTCTTTCAGACGAATCCAGTCAGTTATATTAAATTGTCTTTGATCTTCCAAGCTGTTTAATGGCAGTCCACAGGTGTTGTAGTGCATCAGTCCAAAAGAAGTGAAATAAAGGGCATCCATCATAGGGATGTAACGGTATGAAAATTTCTTATCACGGTTATAGTGACCAAAATTTTCACGGTTATCAGTATTATCACGGTATTGTTCAAATGTGCTGGAGATGTTAAAAAAGTACCGACACATAAATCACTTCACCAAGTTTTATATTTAAAAAATCAACAAACAACAAATAAAATGACAAATTTTGTTTGCATAATCACCAAAACAATAACATTACCAACGGTGTTCGGATTTTAAATGACAACTTGACTGACAACAGTTTAATAGCATGTCAAAATATCTAATGTAAATGTTCAAATAAAGCTTTGAAAAAGTTTAATAAAAAGGTAAACCTCACATTTCAGCCTTTTAATAAAGAAAAGATATATGTCAAAATGATAATTGATTAATAAATGATTATATGTATTTTTATCTGCTCCATGAATAATTCTAGATAACTTATCTGAATTGGTTAAATGTGTAGAATCCACATAAGCTTGTTTTTCATCAACCGGTCAAAATGTACAGCAGGGCATGTAAATTCGGTCCGTTTTTGGCCAGACAGGAACTGCACACAGGCTGAATGTAAATATAAGTCTGTGTAAATCCACTCGCTGACAGCAGGTGGCGCTGATGGAAAAGCTGAATTAGAGCTGTTTCCCGTAAACTCCGTGGATAAAGCAGTATTGCTGATTAAGAACTCTTCCTTTAGGTATTACATGGAGCGAAGATGAAAACAAAATGCCATCGAATCATTTCTGAAGACAGTCAGAACCTTCAGAGGTACAATTATATAATTAATTCATTCATATATTAATTTGCATAATTCCCTTAGCACTCTTTTAAAACCTCCCAGCTTTTCTGCCCTGCCACTCGAAACGAAACTACTCTGTGTGCTGTGCGCACGTGAGACTGTTACTTAAAACTGTGCTTTATGCTGGACGGTATTTATTTATCGCAAGTTGTCCAAATCGCGGTAATCTAATAAGGTTTTAATAATTAAAAGATGAAACGGTAATACTACCCGTGGGGAATTTTATCATGATTTATCGTCAAACCAGTAATTGTTACATCCCTAATTCATAATAAAAAGTGTCTCACACGGCTTTGGGGGGTGAACAAAGGCCTCCTGTAGCGATTCGATGCGTTTTTGTAAGAAAAATAACCGTATTTAAAACGTAATAATCAATTTAATCTAGCTTGCGCTCATTGTTGTACACGGAAGCAGCATGTGGTGGATGACGTAAGACGTCGGCGTTAGAACTTTATATTATTATTGTACATTTATAGTATTATAGCAATTTAACATTATAAATGTCTTCACTGTCACTTGACCAATTTAATGCATGCTTGCTGAGTAAAAGTATTACTTTATTTAAAAAAAAAACTGTCTGAACCCAAACTTTGAACGGTAGTTGCAAAGCATTTGTGCATTGTCTCACTTTTTCCCAACAAAGTGTTTTGTGCCCTACACGTAGCCATTTTAGACAGTCAAGTTAAAAGTAGTTAATCTTAAAAAAAAATAAAACATTCTTGTGTCTAGACCCCTGCATTCTGTTCATTATAAAATGCATCTAGCTGATTTTCGACACATGTACAATCAGTATCCAGTGGAAAAGCCTCCTAAGAAATGCATTGGATTATATTTACACTGGTCCTCCTTAACACTGATTAGCGAATAATAAATAAATATATTTTATATATTAATGATTTTAATATTTTTAATAATTTATCTCTGTCATTTGCTTCTGTGTTCACTTAGATACCTCAGTAGGTAAACTGTACACGTCTGGCTTCTCCACTCCTGAGGACAACAGCACCTCTGGTACTGTAGTAGGTGTGGTGAACGGTATGGACCCCCCTGACCAAAGCTTCCCGGTTTCTGAGCGCACTACAGCAACTAATGGTATTTGATGTTCACAATTATGAAATATAAGTTTCATGTGTACATGTTAATTAGATAAATCTCTTGAACCCATCACTGCTGTCTGTTATTGGTGTTTTCAGTCAGTAGGCATATGCCACACATTTACCTTTGTTTATGCTGTTTGTTTACACGCAGTGGAGTCCAAGCTCCCTTATGAACAGCCTGTCTCTGAAGAGACTTTGCGCGAGTCTCTCAAAAAAGAATTGGAGTTCTGTTTCTCCAGGTAAGTGCAGCCCTGTAATGCGATGTAAGCTTTCAATTTAATGCAACTAAGTAAACAGCACTTTACGGCCATTCTCCTCCCATCAGCTGCATTCACAGATGCTCCTCTTTCATCCCACAGGGAGAACTTATCTAAAGATCTATATCTAATATCTCAAATGGACAGTGACCAGTTTGTTCCTATTTGGACTATTGCCAGCATGGAAGGAATCAAGGTCCTTACAACCGACACGGACCTCATCTTGGATGTCCTCAGATGTACGTGCTTGCATTTTGCATCTGTGGTCCAATTTATTTTTATTCAAAGTACAAAAATTAATATTACTCTGACCGCCTACAGCATCTCCTATGGTCCAAGTTGACGAAAAAGGGGAAAAAGTGCGGCCAAATCACAAGCGGTGCATCATCATTCTGCGAGAAGTCCCTGAAACAACTCCTGTTGAGGTGAGAAATGTTATCAAGAAGTAGAAGCTGTGGCTATCTTTGGATCGTCTTATATTTATGTGCATTTTTGTTGTTCTCACCAGGAAGTGGAAGCCTTGTTCAAGAATGACAACTGTCCCAAGGTAATAAGCGTGGAGTTTGCACACAACAACAACTGGTACATTACATTCCAATCGGATACAGACGCTCAACAGGTATGAATTTCTGTTATTATTTAGAGATTAAACAAATTGCTTGCCTTTGGATCGGAAACTAATTGGGTTTCCTCCATCCAGGCATACAAATATTTAAGGGAAGAAGTGAAGACATTTCAGGGAAAACCAATCATGGTAAGTTCTTTACAAAAATGTACAGTGATAAATTTATGTCAGATGGGTTCTTACGTTTTTGTGTTTCCTGTTCTCAGGCCAGAATAAAAGCCATCAACACGTTCTTTGCAAAGAATGGTTACCGCAGCCTGGACTGCAGTGTGTATCCTCAGCAATCTCACACTCAGTCCCAGTACAGCTCCCCTCTCTTCATGCAGCCTGTTTACAGCCCCCAGCAGCAGTACCCACTCTATGGCATAGTACCTCCTACCTGGACGCCTTCTCCTACTCCATACTTTGAGACTCCCCTTGTAAGTTTTCTAGTTTGACAATCATGCACCTGACAATCATTTTTGTTGTAATACATTTTTGCATTTCATTATTTTGACTGATGCTGTTATCCACAGGCACCTTTTCCCAACAGTGGTTTCGTCAATGGATTTAGCTCAGCTGGACACTACAAAACTGGCTCAAATTCTCTCAACCTTAGCCGTCCCTTTAGCAGGAACCGGTGGGTCAAGTTGGGCTCTTTCATTCTACCACCAGTTTATCTTGAATTAATTAACTGTATAGTTCTAACCTCACTATAGAGTGCAACAGGGCTCTGGCAGTAAATTCATTGTCTCTATAAGGGAATTGAAGATAACTTATAAACTGTTAAAAGACCGCATTACTGTGAGCTGCGAGGTTATAATCAATGGTATATGCTTTTATTGAAGCCATCAGCCTGCATTATTTCAACTTTTAAAAATTTTAAATAACTGTTTAGCAGCAGAATTTCTGGTGAGAAACTACATTATCCATGATTCTGCAAAAAGTCTCCCACCAGTCAGAGAACCGAAACAGAAAAATTCACGCCAAAAGAACATTTTAGGGCCCATCCACTCTCATGAAGCACTGCGAATTATGTGATAGTCAGTCTCCCTACACTCTCAAACTACTTAAATAAAAAATTAAATCCTTTTTAATTTGTCATTCACGATGTTTCTAGGGATTGTAGTTCTTTGCCTCATTAAAGCCGGTGTGTACACAGTCTTGTATCTTTTTTTTTTTTTTGTCTGTTAGAACTCTTTAACAACGACTTTTTGGGGGGGGAAATTACTGTTAAAATACTTCTAGAACCAAGGTTGCTGAAAAAGTGGATGGGCACTGTTGTACTCTATTGTAAAAAGATGTCTGAAATGTGCATTCCCATTTTTGTATTTGATACAAGAAGTTAGAAAGTTTCATTCATGTACAAGTTTCTTTTCTGTGGTGTAAGAATGCAGGCAGTTACAGTAGATCACTTGGATATTTTTTTACTGTTCCCACAGTGTTCCACTCTATTCAAGAAAGAATGTAATAAATGCCTTCAGGTACAGCTTCAAAAACTTCAAATATCAACAATCATCAATCCATTTTTACTATCCTCTTCAGACAGCTAAAATACCAGCTTTGGTGTTCAGCTCTCTAGCTCAAAATTCTGGTTTACTAACCAAACGAGTGGGGGAGGGTTATAGGAGTAAAGAATTATTGCAATTATTATCGCCTTACTTCAAACTATCTTTCAGACACACAGAATGCATATTCTGCAACTTCTGTCAGAAAGAGAATTACATTTCCTGTGTTTATTTTACTAATTTGCATAATTTTGTTAACTAATTATTTTTGTCTATTATATTCACACTCAAATCATCACACTAACAGCTTTTTATGTTGAATGATCTTCATGAGTGGTGTTTAAACATTTCTGTCCGTTTTATTCATTTAAAGAAACATTTAGAATAAGGGCTGACAGAATTAATGTAAAATATTATTTTTTAGCGCATACAATGTTGCATTAAATTAAATGTTAACTTACTAAAAATGTATTAACTAAAAAATTTATATTTTACTCCATTTACAGCCCTAATTTAAATGCCTGAAGTGAGTTTACTACAGGCAATAAACCATAAAAACAAATAAAATTGTGATGGATGCCAATGTAAGCTCACTGGCAGGAAAAAAATATACTGGTTTTAATGAATTTCCCTGTTTGTCTCCATTTTTGTTTTGGAGCCATTGCATGTTGCCCGTTGCTTGAAAGACCATCATCTACATCCATGCTCGTACATGTTTAGCAAAAAAAAAAACGTTTGTATGGACAGTTACATGGAAGCAAATCTCATGTGTTCTTCTGTTTCTGCTTTGAGTAGGAACCATGTGAAGCCTCAGACGAGAGCTAATGATGGTCTGTCTTCCACTGTGTCCCCGGTGGCTCTTGTGGATGGACTGTCTGGTTTGCACAGTCCTCAGCCTCCCTCCAGCGCCGGGCCAGTGCTGTCATCCACTGAGCTCAACTCATCCTTTCCACACCTAGCTTCCAATGATCCAAATGACGATGGTACCATGGTGGGACGTGGAAGGTTTGTCAGGTTTTCCTCTCTTAATACTGAATGTCATCTATTGTAACAATATAAATGTCGTCTACTGTCACTTTTGATCAGTTTAAAAGGTCCTAGCTAAATAAAGGTAGTAATGACTTACAAAAAAAAATCTTACTGACCCCAAACTTTTAAATGGTAGTGTATAAATGATCAAAATAGTCATTAGTCGCTGCCCTACTTCCTTTCCAAATCCCATGTGACCTACAAAATGTAATCCTTTAATTTTATTTTAGTTTAGCCTTGTGAACTAGTGCAATTATGGCGTGTTTCACCTTTTTGAATGTCATTTTAATTCAAATTCAATCAGATTGCACATTTTGTAAATTTGTATTAATCTTTTGTTTCAGGAGAACGACATACAGAGGCACTCGAAGGCGGCGAGAGGATGATCGCACAACAGTAATATGTTTCTGTTTATTGTGTTGCTGATTACAGTTAAACCTCTTTCTATTTATGCCACCTTAATTGTTTTTTTTCTTGCTTGTTTCTACAGAGACCAGTTCCCCTGTCTCAAGTCAAGGTACCACCCCCCAAGTTTGACCTGGCTGCCTCCAACTTCCCTCCGCTGCCTGGCTGCTCTGCCAGTCCGCAGGGGGAGCCTGTGCTGGAGAACCGCCTCTCTGATGTTGTATGGGGCCTGAATAGGGAAAAAGTATGTTAATATAAGATAAAAAGCTTTCACACCACTCTGATTGTTTTTTTTGTTTTGTTCATTGCTTGTTGTTTTATTTCTCTCCAGCAACAGAATTCAAACAAAGAGCCTGCTGTGAGTCCCGCAGCCCCAGCCACAGGCGAGACTGTCTCCAGGCCCACCCAGCCTGTAGCCAAGATGACTGCTCATGTCCCTGATCCTGCGACCTCCAGGTAAGCGATTGTTATAAATGGCTGGCATTCTGAATCTTGTTTTTATTAGTGTCTAAGTTTTGCTACTTGTGTTTTGTAGCTCCAACCACCTGGAGAAGAAACCGGAGAAGGTGGAGCCTCCGGTCTATAAAGAGACGTCTGTGACCTCTGCCCCCGTCGCAGCCGTGCCACCCAACCCTGCCCCAACAGCATCTGATCCAAAGCCTCAAGCCACCTCGGTCACGCCTGCAGCCCCCCAATCTAACACTGCCCCCTCCAGTTCCCCCGCGCTGGTGAGTTATAGCTTCTCTCAGGCTGATGGTTATATTTAGAAGGGCCAAGTAGTTAGTGGCATGAGTGTCTTTTTAGGTTCAAGGCCCTATTCTTTTTCTCATTATCTCTCTCCACTTTTTCATTCTTTCTAGTCTGTCCTACAAATTAAACCACCCTGTTTCTAGATTTAAGTTTTTTGTTTTTATTTTTATTTTACATTTTTTTATATTTACATAGTACAGTGTATTCCTACATATTACAATACATTTTATTGTATATTTACATATTTGTTTACTGTTACATGTATTTTTTGTAGTGTAAATATTGCAGTGTAATATATTACTACCATGTAACTTATTTTTTTTATTTGTTTTTGAAAAGTTTTGTGAAAATGTGAATTCTATATCACAAAATGCGGGGTAATGTATGTTTTTACTACATAATACAGTAAAAATATTTGTCACAACGCACTGGATAGCTGGCCAATCAGAGCACACCTCGCTTTTCAGACCGATGAGCTTCGTAAAAATCGACGCGTTTCAGAAAGGCGGGGCATAGAGGAGAAACAATAATGTACAGTATGTGGAAAATAATGTGTTTTTTGAACCTTAAACCACATAAACACATTTCATTACACCAAATACACAAAACAACGTTCTTTTTAGCAACATCATATGACCCCTTTATACTAATTAATCAAAACTATTATCAATATGCACTACCGTTCATAATTTTTACAGAGTCTGCATATATTTGAAATATTACAATTAAAAATTTAATTTTAATATATTTTAAGATCCGAGTGTATAAATCTATTAAAAAATATATATAATCTTATTAATATAAATATTTTCTGTGGTTACTTCTATGGTTGAACCTTTGAAATCAAAGAAATTGACGGCACTAAATATTAGTATTGTAATTTTACTGATGTTGGGTAACATTGTCATTATTATTTTTATTATTATTAATACCCTCTTTTATTTTACTGTACAATACTATTTTGCAATAGTAATATTTATTTTCTTTAATTTTTTTTCTTTGCTGATCATGTGCCATTTATTTATTTGTTCATTTACATATGGTTCACATGGTCAAATACATTAACCCCCTCCATCTAACTCAACACTAAAATAGACAGATTCAATGAAGTCTCCCAGACATTTCCATATACCACAGCTATTCAAAGTTGTGTAACATATCTTTGAATATGTAGTTAAGATGTGTCTCCCAATACTTGAAGGCTAATGCTAATTCAGAAGACTTTAAAATGTTCTCCTCTTCTCTTCAGGAACCTCGCAAGCTCAGTTACGCTGAAGTATGCCAGCGACCACCTAAGGATCCCCCTCCTCCAGGATCCACTTCCAGCCTCAACAATGGAAGCACACAGCCTCTGAGAGAGCTGCGCGTCAACAAGGTGGAGGAGCAGCCCTCCAGTCCTGCAAACAAACAGGAGAGGCCTCAGGAAACGGGGGGAAACTGCAAGGCCAGGGAGGGCCGACCGGCCCGTGACTCCCAGAGCTTTTCTCGCAGCAATGGACCCCCCAGAACCAGTACAGGGGGGTTCAAGCTACGGGAGCAGCAGAGACGCCCTCCTTTTGGCCATCGCGGTTCCCCCCAGGGAGGTTCCAGACACACTGGAAAAGAGCAGAACATCCCCCCCATATCGCCAAAGTAAAGACTCTAACAGAAATCCTTAATGTATGAATATTTATACACGCATATATATAAGATATATATGTAAATATTTATAAATAAATATAAATATAAATATATATATATATATGTGTATATATATATAAATATAAATATATATATATATATATATATATATATATATATAAATATGATATAAAATTTAAAATGGTATTCACCTCTCCTGCCTGGAGCACTTCCAGAGGATAAGTCTCATGAAGTGACAATGCACAGACTTGGGTATCCAGGCAAAATGGGCATCAGAAATTGGATCCAGTTGTTGCTTGCTGAAGGACGCCATTGAATAGGAAAAAACAAACATTTTATGCTTCTAACTTGACAATGTCCCTTCAGAATGTAAATCAATGTGAGTTTTGAAAGGAGGGTGGCCTCTCTTAGTCTGGGAGAGGTGAAAATAAGAGGTCTGTTGGTCCTGATGGTGGTCTGCAAAGAGCATATGCACTAAGAAAAGGAACATGCATAAACGATTTCGTGTACCTATACAATGATATCACTTTGACATGCAATGATTCATCTTTTTCTTTTGTTTTCGGTTGCTTCATTTGCAATCACAGGACACTGGGCGCTCGAACCCCGGGGTGGTTTGACCGTGTAAATGAACCTTTGTGTGGAAGGATGTGGTTTGCTTTAGAGTCGATTCATCTGGGATTTAGATCCCGTGTAGAATATGCTATGCGTGCTTGAGTGAGTAATTTTGCAAGTATCTTTAGGGCTGACAGTGCGATTTGGTCTGGAGTTTTGCATTAGTTTGCGTGACATACTGTAGTGATTAATTCTGGAACGGGCGTTCAGATTTACTTACAATCAACTTTGGAGCCTTGTTAACGATTCAAATATATAGCCTACTATCACTTCAAGAAGTCAAAGCCTGCCAATTATGATGCTGTTATGTCACTGATTTGCTAATGGGTGATTCGTTTCTCTTTTTTTTCTTCTCTTTTTTCTTTTTTGTGTGATTTGTCATTGTTTTTGTAGCTAGTTTGAGTAACCAACAACCTGTGAATGATAACTCTTAACAGTCAGGTACATAGGCACTCATGAACTTTGTGTCATCTCAGATTTCTTCTTTTTGTTTTTGTGCATTCTCCTTCCTGGACTGCTCAATTGTCCACTCAAATATCCTGAAAATCAGTCAGGTTCTTGACTGTTTACAACAAGGTGGTGGTGGTGGATTGGAATATTGCAAGGCACAGTCAAGAATCATGTTCGTTATGTGGATTGGTTCTTAGTTAGAGGGTTTCTTATATTCAAAATCAGTACATTCGGAGTTGATTGATTGTATGGCGCTGTTGGTGATGATGATATAGGTCAAGCTGGTCTGAAGTTTAGTTTCTATCCATTACTGTTGAAATGATAAAATATGATTATCACTGTTATATCAAAGCAATTGTTTCTAAATTAAGGCACATTCAGCTTGTCATTTTGGGTTTCATTGGAAGAAGTCCTGAATTTTTCAGCTTTTGGTCATTTGGCAAACAAATTCAACAGTGCTGATCTCTTTCAAAATAATTTTTGATGATTTATGTGCAAATCTAATGCCCAGAGTGGGTTATCTGGCTCAGGGTTGACGTTTCATCTCATTCCTGTCATTTACAGCACCAATACTGGTCTCATATTTATATGAACTTCCAATTCGGCAATGCTTAAAAGGCACAGTAATTTCATGCAATTTTATAGTTTGAAGGAGTTGAGATTCAAAGGAGAGTTGTATTGTTATATGCTTGATATCCCTTGAATATGTCCTCCATGAATTGTAATACAAACCCCATATTTAAACGAATACATTTCTTCCTCCCTAAAATGAGCATTTTGACTCTTGGATAAATGTCAATATCTGTGCAAAATCCTCTCATTATGATTGCTGCAAGGTTTCTGATAGCTTTGCCATGGTAATGTGAGTGTTGTCATTGCTATGCCAATGCAAGCATGTTTTTTTTTTTTTTTGACACGGTGGCATGTGTTTGGGTAATTAGAAATTGACAGTTGCTTTGGTAGATAGTACCTGATAGTGACTGTGAGGAAAATGAATAACAGGGATGCGTTCACTACAAAAATTGCTGTGGTGAATTGGTGCTGTTATTTGAATGTTTAATCAGGAGGATACAGTATTGCTGTTCAATTCATTGTAAAGTATTTTTAGTAAAATGTATTTTTAATTTATTTTAATTCTGCTGTCCATCCCCCATGCAACCCCCTGTCCCGTGTAAGTTTGTAATCATGACTTATGTACAAAAAGACATTGGGAGAGAATCACAGATTTAACATTTGTTTTTTATTTTTATTTTGTTGAGATTTCAGCAGAGAAAATACTTGATGCATTTACTAGAGGCTTAGTAAAGCGGTAAATAACAAATCACTGGGGCTTTTTTTCTTGTTTTCATTAATGAATATGAGCAGCTAGTGGTTTAGGATAATGAAATGCACTAAATTGTTTAAAAAAAAATCTTATGTAATGTGAAATTATACTAAGAGCATAAGGTAATGATATTGATGTTGACAGGCTTGCAGAAATCTACAGAAAATAGCAAATTTCTCTGTAATAATTGGGTTATTACTGTTAATTGATTTAGGGGTTGGTGTGGCAAAAGGAAGAATTATATAACAATGGATTGAAGTGAGACACTAAATTCTAGCTGTCTGCATAAAATGTCACAAAAAGAAAATAAATTATTTTGTTTTGGCCTTATCCTTGACTGGTTCATTTGCTGTATTATTTCTAATTTGTTAAACTGTTTTGTGTTGCCTTTGTACGGTTAACAAGAAATTTATAGAGATTTAAAGTATGTGTATATATATATATATATATATATATATATGAAGGAATATAGATAATTTATTTTCCCTAAGAAGGGGCTTTCCGTTAGTACTGTTTAGTTATTTCAAGTATAGGAAATTAAAGAGTGAGTTTGTAATTTTCCCCAGACATTTCCTGATGTACTGTACACTACCATTCAAATGTTTGCTTTTGTCCACTGAGGCTGCAGTTTTTAAAATAAAAAATACAGTAATATTGTTTAATATTAACATATTGTAAAACGTAATTTATTTCTGTGATGGCAAAGCTGAATCTTCAGTATCATTACTCCAGTCTTCAGTGTCACATGATTTTTCAGGATTTGTTTTAATGTGCTGATATGCTGATCAAGAAGCATTTCTTATCAATGTTGAAAACATGCTTTATGTTTTTGTGGAAACCATAATACTTGTTTTGGGATTTTTAGAATAAAAAGTTCAAACAGCTATTTGAAATATTTTTTTGTAAAAATGTAAGTCTTTACTGTCAGTCTTGATCGATTTAATGCATCCTTGCTGAATAAAAATACTAATTTTTATTCTATATATATATATATAAAAAAAAATAATTTAAGACACCATAATTAATTTTGAATGGTAGTCTTTTTGTAAGGGATACTGTGCAGACATTATCACACATACACAAAATGATGTGTAAAATTACAAAGTCATAAAGTTGGATAAATCTCAGACTAATTTATCGAACTGCTATTCTGGAGGGTACATTTTAATAAAAGCATAGGCAAATGGCAAATACATGTCAATTTCCAGATACAGTCATCTCAATACTGTACCATCTCAAAAACACATTGAAAATACAATTTATACAGTAACTTGTCACAGTAAACTATAAATTTTTATAACACTTGCTTTTCATTTGATGTTTCTTTTTCAAAAAAATTGTACTGTAACAGGAAAACAATTTACAGTGTGAGGGCACTGAGTGACATAAAGCGTCATTCCCTCAGGAGCCCCTCAGCACCGGGCCCATCGTGTGCGTGTCTATATTTGGCACAAACAGTACGGTATGTGAAGAATGGCCTCTCACAGACGCGCATAACTAATTTTAGCCATATTTCTTGCCGCATTTCCACGCTACAAGTGTGTTCCGCCAATACAACCCGACGGATAAATGGCGTTTTCGAATGGTTTGTCACTTCCTCTCGTGACGTCACCGTGTTTGTGTTGCGCGCTGGCACACTGACAGATTAGCTGCAAACCTGCGGCTGTTTTCATTTCTTGCAGGTTCTTTTAACACTTAATCGTCTTCGATTACATACTTTGCGTTTTGCTTTTGTTTTATTCGAGCACTTGCGCCTAAGGAGATCCAGAGGTAAGAAAATATGTTATTTCACGTCCCGGGTGTCGAAACTAACGTTAGCTCCAAGCGGCTAGTTCACTCCGGTAGGACGCATACAGCAATGAGTAATAAAGATAAGCATAAGCCTGTCTTTTTATTTAATTTAGATGCAGCCAGACTTCTTTGTTGACTGTCACTATGAAGCTGTCATGTTTTAGACTTTATTTGCTTGTTAAAGCTTGTGTTTCTTCGCTAGCTGGTCTGTCATGCGACCTTTTGATGACAGCATGACAAGAAGACGAGACGAACAGCAAACAGCCCATTTGCTTTATTTATTAGCATGAGCATGTTGCATGCATGCTTTGATCAATATTTATAAGACAGGTCGAGTGTGTCAGGCACCTGCTACACAAAGAATAACTATATGATATTAGTATATAAACATGTCTGAAGCTTGATATAACCCACTATAGTATTACCTAGACCTAGATGGAGTAGCGAAATTTGCCAAAATTAAATAGTAATGAATGAACAGATGTTTCGAAGAGATACATTATTTACCCTCATTACCATATGGACAAAATATATAAAAATTAATGTGAAAAAATACAATTAAATTTGGAAATGAAGAAGTGAAAGATTAAATAAATACAGTAGTCTATAAACAAAACAATAAATAAAAACAGCTAAAACTGTTGCAAAACAGTATGTACTTTATTTTAACATTATATGCAAATTGATGTCAAAAATAAAGTACTAATTTTGATGAGAAATTAAACATTTATAATTTATTTAATATTTGTTTATTAATTATTTATTTGCATGTATGTTTATTTTTAATATTTGCAAGGATATTAATATATATATATATATATATGTATCATTATAAATAAATATATTATAAATATTTATTTGTATTATTATTTAAACATTTATTTGTTTAACATGTATTTATTGACATTTATTCTATTTATTTTGATGATTGTCTGATTATTATTATTAAATAAATTGTAAATGTGGCAGTAAGCATATCCCCGTTGACATAAAGCAGTACTGAATACACTATTGGCATTGTCTTTAAAGAGATTGAATGATTGTATGATTCCTAATGTAAAGATATTACTTGTTCTATCAACTTCATTCTCTTGTTAATCAGTTTTCTGTTTTCTTTTTTCTTGGATTATTTTTCTCACTTTCACAGCCATCTCATTTTGGTGTGGCGTCACCCGGTCTGGGTGAAATGTCCTTTAGTTCCACATGAGCTCTACTATGTGGTACATCATGCAGAGTATTCAGAGCAAATACTCATTGTCGGAAAGGCTCATTCGAACCATAGCTGCCATTCGCTCCTTCCCACATGATAATGTGGAAGACCTTATACGCAGGGTGAGTCGTGTTACCAACGCTTTAAAAAGTCTTTCATATATTGCGTTCTGAATGAAAATGTGCTTCTTTCTCAGGGAGCAGATGTGAACCGGATGCATGGCACGCTGAAGCCCCTGCACTGTGCCTGTATGGTGGCTGATGCTGATTGTGTGGAGCTTTTGCTGGAGAAAGGTGCCGAGGTACAGTGTAACAAGAATAATTCTTTTCGAGTTTGCAAACTAAAGTCAATTCCCTAAATTCAGTGTTTTGACAGTTTAAAAGTAAAGCGTGCAATTTTGTTGCCACTAGTGGTGGAGAAATTACACATTTTACTGTTAAGTTGTTAATGGCTCTGTGGCAAGTAAGTGATTAAAGGTCTTTTCAAATCTAGTTTAAAACATGTTAAGTTTTTTTTTCTTACGTTTTGAATAATACACATCTTAATCTTTATTTTTCAAAAAGTTTTTTTCAAGATTAAAAGTATTTATTTACAAATATCCCAAATTAGTATTTTATAAATATCATACATTTTTTGAGGGGTTGCACTACGTGATATTTTGAAACCCTAAACTAACCTTGACTTGTTATAAAAAGGTCAAAATATATTATTGTCTTTAATACTCAGTCATGCGGATATGCAGGGGTCCTCTCTATGACATAATTTCCTGTTTTTTGTTTTTTTCCTGTATACTTTTGCTTGTTGGATGCTGCACATGACTTTGATTTGGCAGACTAAAGTTTTTAATATTAGATGAGAATGTTTTGTTCAAATATATGTACACTACCGTTCAAAAAATGTTGGGGACAGTATGATAAAAATTTTTTTTTAACTTTTTCAGCAAGGATGCATTTAATTGATCAAAAGTGATAGTAAAGACATTAATAATAATACAAAAGATTAATATTTCAAATAAATGCTGTTGATGTGAACTTTCTATTCCTCAAAGTATCCTGAAAAAATGTATCATGGTTTTCACTGTTTACTTCATTATCATATCAGGAAAGATGCATCACCCCTACATTTTTTACTTAATTTTTGACAATTTTAATTCAGAATTAAAAGAAATAATAATAATTTTCTCACCCAGGTAAACGCCTTGGATGGCTACAACCGCACTGCCCTGCATTACGCAGCGGAGAAGGATGAGGGTTGTGTGGAGCTGCTTCTAGAATACGGGGCCCAGCCAAATGCTCTGGACGGCAACAAGGATACGCCACTGCACTGGGCTGCCTTCAAAGATAACCCCGAGTGCGTACGGGCCCTATTAGAGAGCGGCGCGTGCCCGAATGTCCGGGATTACAATAACGACACACCCCTCAGTTGGGCAGCCATGAAAGGCAACCTGGAGAGTGTCCGTGTGCTGCTAGAGTACGGCTCTCAAGTCCACGTCACCAACCTAAAGGGCCAGACGCCCATCTCGCGGCTGGTGGCGCTGCTGGCTCGGGGCCTGGGCACGGAGCAGGAGGAAGAGTGCCTGGAGCTGCTTTGCCGCGCCGCGGGGAGGATCGAGATCCGCAGGGCCGACGGCTCTTTACCACGTGAGCTCAGTAAAGATCCTCAGTTACTGGCTCGACTCACTAGCCTCGTAGCCCAACCGCCCTCGTTACGAGCGTTGGCGCGCTGCACCGTTCGTAACAGCCTGGGAGTTCAGTACCTCCCATCTGCGGTGAAACAGCTCCCGCTTCCAGAGTCAGTGAAAGAATATGTGCTCCTCAGAGACTGAGCGAGAAGACTGTCCTTAATGTCAGACGTGGAGGAGGTAGATGTCTTCCGTGTACGTGAACATGTGATTGTAATCAGACTGCAATCTGAAGTGTGTCTGTCCATATACAGTGGGTGAAGAAGTGAGGAAGGTTCATGTTTCTTTTGTTGCTATAATGTCATCAAGCAAATTCAGACTTTGGTTGCAGTACAATTATGTGCTTTGGTGCAGAGAAATACTGATCAGGTAGGAGAGAGATAATGCACTTATGAACCCATAATGTTAAAAAATCAGTAGATAATATGTGAAACACTCTAATTGCAAAAACAAGAAAATAATGAAAAAATATGATTTACCAGTAAATCCTATGTACACACAAATAACACTTTAACAGCACTTATAAGTTATAATTATATATTACATTTGTTTCAAACTTATACTTGAAGATAAAGTTTTTTTTTATGCATACATTTTTTTTAAAGATGGTAACTAAAACCTTTACATTAAATTTTAAAGTCAAATGAATTTTAACATTTTTGTTAAATCATGTTATGAGGCTTCCCAGTCATCAAAAATAATCCTGGAAAAGTGGGTGAAATTTTGCAAAAATATAGTAAATTTGCCACAAAGTAACCTTGTTTTATATTTGTTTACTAATCTCTGGCATTTTGAAGCAGAACCATGTAAGAACACTTCATTGGATTTCAAATCAATATCTATTTCTGTCCATCTATCACTTTGGTAATTATGAATCTTTCTCTTGAAAACTACCTGGTTTATAGTGTGTTGGATTGTATAACTTTTTTGGTGCTGATGATTGCAGAAAGTGAGCTGTACTTTTGCGTTTGAGATGAAAACACAGCAAACCTTAACAAGAATATTCTATGTCAGTAATGGGAATGTTCTTTTTTTGTCATGTTGGCATGATCATTCCAAACGCTTGCAGACCGTGAATGGGATGTCTTAAATGAATTCATGTCAACACTAGTGTCACATCTTGTGAACCTCAACAGATTTTTTGCAGTTGTTTTCATTTCACTGTTGTTATATTGCTTGATTAAGAAGTATGTAGTGCTTACATCTAGTTTTATGCATGCAGACTAACCAGTAAAAGCCTCCATGCATTGTTCAAGTGTTTTACTGCAGTTTTTTCTCCAAACCAAGTGAATCACGAAGGTGATTATGAACACATCATTTGCCTTCTCAATGACATGAAACCTTAGATGAGTTATGTGTGTGTACTTTTAACCAGTAGAGGGTGCTGGAATACCACATGATATAAAACAGTCAGCTAAAGCTACAGAATTTTGCAATTTACCTTGTTTGTAAAATAATAATAATAATTTTTCTTGAAAGAAACAGACATATCAGACCTTCAGGAAAAGAACAACTCCGTTCTAATAACCTATATTTACTTATAATAGCTAAATAAACAGACGTCATGCATCCATTGCTGACTAAGACTATTTAATATTAACTTGCAAAAGTGTACATTTGATTATGAACATTTTCTGTAAGTTTTTAAGACTTTAAAAACGCTCTCCGTGAAGCCATGGTTTTGTTTTCTGAATAGGAAATTTAATAACGAGAAAGAAGCATATTTTAATTGCATACATTTCACTTCCTAACTTCAGCAAGTGAATTTGTGTTTTGCATCATGCTTTATTTAAACTCCTAAGCACAGGATGTCCTCTTTAAGAGAATGTAAATCAGTCAGGAAGGAAACTACAGCAGGACTGAATAAAGGCCCTCTGCAACTAACTTTCCTCTGCTTTCAAAACCATCACCTTCAGTTTACATCAAGATTTGAATCTTAATCATTGCTTTACATAGTTAATGCACAGAGTATTTTACGCTCAATAGCAGACTGAATCACCCACCACTTGTAAAGAGAGTTAGTAAAGCTGGGATGAGAACAAGATATTGTTCATGACATAATCTAAGGGTATGAATGATTAAAAACGTTGGCAAAAGAAATATGATTTTCAGTTTACATATTTATGTATTAAAAAATGCAATCCACTTTTATATTTTAATTTACCTTACAATTAGATTTTTTAAATATATTCATAATCTCGACCCCCCCATGATTTACATTAACATTCATAGCAACATTCAAAGTTCGTGCCAAAATGTTATAACATTATTACAGTCATAAAATAAATAAGCTAGAGTTTATTAATCAGAACGAATCAGAAAAAACAAGCATCAACAGTGTGAATTTTGAACAACCACCCCAGGTGAGCTTTGAGGGACCGGGGTAGTGTGTGACGCCAAAATCTCGCGATATTTCAAGGGGAGGGGAAGGTAGAAATTGCACATTAAAGTGTCATAAAACTGTATTTAAAACAAAACTCGGCAACCGTGCATTGTGTTTTAGTACACATTGCCATAAAAGTTCTATTTTTGTTGCTTACAGAGACAATCATGATTTGAAGTCGGATAAATTACTTTGCATATTTCACTTTAAATACTGTTCATATTTTCAACTAAATTCATATTTTCAACTAAAAGGTTTAGAAAAAAGGTGCTTTGCAGTAATTACTGTTAAGTTAAGGTAGATGGAATAATGATGAAGGATGTTTTTCACACGGTTTTACATTACGGGAACACAACATTTATTTATTATCATTTATATACACTGTTGTTTTGAAGTTTGGGGTCTGCAAAAATTCTTTCATGTTTTTGAAAGAAATCTGTATTTTTTTTAAAATAAAAAATACAGTGAAATCAGTAATATAGTAAATATTATCACAATTTAAAATAACTGTTTTCTGTTTTAATATATTTTAAAATGTAATTTGTTCCTGTGATGGCAAAGCTGAATTTTCAGCATCATTACTTCAGTCTTCAGTGTCACATGATCCTTGAGAAATTAGTCTAATATGCTGATTTGGTGCTTAAGAAACATTTATTATTGTCAATGTTGAAAACTGTTGTTGTGCTGCTTAATATTTTTGTGGTACATTTACATTCCTTGATGACTAGAAAGTTCAAAAGAACAGCATGTATTTGAAATAGAAATATTTGATAAAATCATATCATAAATGTCTTTACTGTCACTTTTGACCAATTCATTGCGTCCTTGCTGAATAAAAGTATTAATTTCTTTCTTTCATGTTTTTTCCTTTCAATTTCTAAACCCTAAACTTTTGAACAGCCGTGTTTGTACCACTATTACTATACTAATTAGGCAACTATTAACTATACTAATTAACTATACCTACATATTTACCTACATATGCTTTTACAGCACTTTTAAAAGACTTAAACAAAGGTTTTTGAATCAAAATTTTGAATCAATGTTGCACAATATTATATTGCCAGCAAAATTATTGCAGATATATCGTCACGTGGACATTAGATATATTTCTGGAGAGAAGACACACTGTTGCTGTTTTGTTGACTTGTAGCATGTCCAACATTGTTGCAGCCGCAGTATAAACTGATCTGAAGAGGATTATGGGTTTACAGAGGGGGACTTCGGGTCCACATTGTTCCTAGCAGAATACAGGCCAAGGGAACTGCATTGGGCTACACTGTGTATTTCCTCACCATGGATTTAGCACCGGGCACACTGCAGTCATGCAGACATGGATCTAAAGTTTCATTTGTTCCATTTTCCAAAGCTCAGGTTCACTAAGGTTACAGAAATCCAAATCAACCATAAAACACACCATGCACCATAGATCTCCCGTCCCCAACACCATCCGTAGGACCCTTGGCCTTTACCTGCAAGTTACCGAACACCCTCCAAAAGCATTCGTTCCATTCTCTGCTCCCTGCCCCCCCCCCCTTCCGTCGCTCCCTATTTGTGGGGTCTCCCTTACTCTCTGGCAGCTCACTCTCCAGATTCCTCATTCTTGGCTCCAGCTGGAGCTATTAATACAGTTTGTTTTGTCAGTTTCCTAGCAGACAGCATCAAACAGTGCACGCCTGAGGCAGATTATAGCTGGACTTTGCTACACCGTCCACCTGCTGAGTAGGAGAAATCCAAATTAACAGCAGGATGCTGTTTGTCCCCGTGTTGGACCACTAAGGCCCAATTGATCCTGAGGAACGGGCTGCGAATTTAAAAAAAAAAAAAAAAAAAGTTCCCACAGTCATGAAAAAAATCTGGAAATGTGAATTTGAAAAGTCAGGGAAATTAATGACATTTTAACATTTCTTGGAAATTTTTATAGTGAATATAATTCTCAAAAAATTTTCATAGCTTATAAATAGTTTTTTTTAAATAAATGTATATACTATGCAAATTTCCATAAAAGTTCTATTTTTGTTGCTTACAGAGACAATCATGATTTGAAGTAGGATAAATTACTTTTCATATTTTACTTCAAATTCTTTTTAATTTTTTCAACAAAACTTTTTTTCTAAAAGGTGCTTTGCAGTAATTACTGTTAGATTAAGGTAGATGTTTTTTTAAGAGGTCAACCCACAAAAATGTCAGAATTATAAATGACTAAATTCGCTTGCAATTTAAATAAACAATATTTGTTTATGTCTTGTTTGTTTGCTATATAAATATATTATAAAGCCCCTGCTGTTGATCAGTTTGTTATCCCATGAAATTGTTGTGGCTTATAAATAGTTTTTATATATATAAATACAGTCTGTTAAATAAATTTAAAAAAAAATCTTATTTTTATGTTGTTGTTTTTTTAATATAGAAAGAGTTATTGGAAAAGTTATTGTTTACACGGGAACTGCTAATAATGTTAGCTCCTGTATCATCTACTGTGATTCCTCATTTGTAAGTAATTTTGGATAAAAGCGTCCTCTTGATGATTCGATGCAAATATAAATGTAAATGCAAAAGTCATGGAAGTCCATTGGCCAGAAGGTGTGGGAACTCTGAATCCATTGCATTTTTAAAAACTCAAGCAGTTCACTGCTAGTACTGCCAGCTGTCTTCCTGTTTAAATTGTTGATGATAGACGAACCCAGCTGTTCAGTTTATCTTCAGTAGTGCTATCAAAGATGGTGGATGTTGTCAGAGCCGTGTACTAGCAACTGGCACTCATGCAGAGATATGTGGTTCTCATGTAGGAGACCAAAAATTAAGTTTGGGTAATTGATTTTGGGAAACTTGGTTGATTATACTTGGTATGCTGTTCAGGGTTTCATGTTCTCAGGTGATAACACTGTAAAAAAAATTTTTTTAAGTTGTTAATAAAACAGATTATTGGAGTATGTTTTACAAGAAATTACTATTTTCAGTCTTTCTACTTCAAAATGTAACTTACCATTTCTTTGTAATTATTTGTGAAATTTACTAGCAATTTCTGACTGAAAATTGTTTCAAAGTAAGCTCTACACCGTTTTTTCCCCCAGTGCCGTTGAGTCGCTTCTCGATATTTCAGCTAAACTGTTTTTACATATTGCTGCTTTAGCATCCTTTTTGCTTACTGTGAAG